TGAAATATAGTATTAAATATTATATAAAATTTCATTCGCAAGAGAGCATACAAAGCTCTTATTATTCCCACCAAATATGATCTTTAGCTTAACCTAATTTTAGATCTGCTTGAATGTCTGCTTAGTATTATTTCTATATTTGCACTTGAACTGCATATTTTGCATGATTTGATTAGTTATTTCTTTAAAAATTCCACATTCATTTCGACTCTATTATTGACAGGGAATTTTCTTCTGATGCGTTACTCTAACGTTTACCTTTCAAGCGACTGACTGCTAAGCCAATTTATAAACGAATTCTCAGTCATTCACAGCATACCCATACACCCACATACCCACCCACACACACACACACACACACCCACACAAATAAATGCAAGTCAGAAACAAACATTGAAATTGAATCGCAATCTGAGTTGTGCGTTTTGCGTTCGGACAGTCTGATAATAGACAAAAGGCAAACGACATACAAAACAAACAGAAAAAACAGAAAAAAATGGGAGGAGCTGAAAAAAAATTGTTGCCTTAAAAGAGAAAGGTGTTCGAGACAAGCTAGTTGTTGTACTTTTTGCAGCAGCTGTGTTGTGCATGCCAAATGGAATTGAAAATATGTGCAAACCCAAACCTACGCACACATCTATATATATGTATGTACATATATATATTGAGAGCGGGAGGGAGAGAGAGCATTCGCCTACTCACGTTTAGAATGTCGAGTCCATTCATTAGTCGCCATTCACTCAAGCATCGCATTGCGCATACGCCCCGACGTCTGTTGGCGCTTTATGCCCAATATTATTTCTGCAAAGCCAGAAGGCAGCTCAGCTCACAGTTATGACTAAGCTAACACACACACACACACACACACACACACACACATATGCATGCATGCATATATGGCCAATAGTCATCAACATATTCGGTTACATTTGTGGCAGCCGTCATATGAAACGCATTTTCGTGCCTGCGCAGCTGCCTAATCAAATATTTATTTGAGCCAAACAGCCAAACAGGTGCGAATTTTCAAATTTCCACAAATGGCTTAGCGTACCTTCTGCTTCTTCTTTTGCTTTTCTGCTCAAGAGTGTGTCGCACGTTTAATTTGTTTATTTATGTTTATTTGTCACAATTCGGAGAGCGCCTCGAGTGCTTGTTTTTCTTTTTTTCTTTTTTTTTTTTTTTTCTTTT